TTCAGCCAGGGTGCTCTTCCCTGTCACTGGCCTCTCTTACAGCACCTGGGGACCGCCTGCTCCTGGGCCATTAAACATTTCCTTCTTTAAGAGCACCCAGCATTCCTGGACCCCTGTACCCTTCAGGACCATCTCCCAGGAGATCGTTTCAAGCAGGTGCCCAGACAGGACAAAGTCAGCCCTTTGGAAGTCCAGGATGTCAGTTCTGCTGCCCCCTCTCCTGGCCTCTCTAAGAACAGAGATCTCTATTATTTCATGATCCCTGTGCCCTAGTCGGCCTCCAACCGCCACATCACCCACCAGCCCTTCTCTGTTCACAAAGAGGAGGTCCAGCAGGGCACCTTCTCTGGTCGGTTCTCTCACCGGCTGCATCAGGAAGTTATCTCCCACATATTTCAGGAATCTCCGGGACTGGTCCCGCTCTGCTGTGTTGTATTTCCAGCAGATGTCTGGGAAGTTAAATCACCCACAAGAACAAGGGCAAGTGATTGTGAGATTTCACCCAAATGCCTATAAAATATTTCATCCACCTCTCTGTCCTGGGTGGGTGGCCTATAGTAGACTCCTACTACAACATCTGCCCTGTTGGCCTTCTCCCTGATCCTAACTCCACCCTGTCTTCACTACACTTGTACTCAAAGCAAACATAACAGTCCCTGACATACAGCACTACCCCACCGCCTCTCCTGCCTTGTCTGTCCCTACGAAAGACCTTGTAGCCATCAACTGGCACACTCCAGCCATGGGAGACATCCCTCCATGTTTCTGGAATAGCCACATCATCATAATTTTCCTGTTTCATCATGGCTTCAAGCTCCTCCTGTTTGTCACCCATGCTGTGTGCATTGGTATACATGCCCTTCAGATGGGCCAATGTTTTGCCCCCTTCCCCCTTCAAATCTAGTTTAAAGCTCTGTCCTGCCCCAAGACCCTCTTCCCCCTCTAGGACAGGGGCATACCATCTAATGCCAAAAGGTCTGGTGCCCTGTATAACAACCCATGATTGAAAAATATGAATACCTGATGGTAACACCAGCCCTGGAGCCACAAATTCATCTGTTGAATTCCCCTGTAATCATCTTCATCCATCCCCACAACTGAAGGGATGGAGGAGAACACTATTTATGTCCCCGACCCCTTAAGCAGTTTCCCCAAGGACCTGAAATCTCTCTTCATTGCTTTAGGCCTTCTGGTGCTGTCGTCACTACCTACCTGAAAAAACAGAAGAGGGTAGTAGTCTTGGGCTCTCACTAGAGCGGGGAGTTTTGCCGTGAGGTCCTTGACCCAGACCCCACGGAGGCAGCAGTCTTCCCTATGAAGGGGTTCTGGTCTGCATATGGGTCCTTCGACACCCTCAGAATGGAGTCACCCACTACAATAACTCTTCTGGGGCTGTTTTCAGAGCTGTTTTTAATTCCTGGTCTAGAATGATCTGGCCTTGGTGGACCTTGGTCTTCCCTGTTCTTCTCTTTTTCTTCCTCCTTCTCTTCTTCATTCAGAAATTCCAGGGCCCCGAATCTATTGTGAAGGGGCACCATGGAGTGTGAGGGAGGTCGGGAGAGAATTTTCCTGCATCCCTGAGTAGGGACCCGTTTCCAGCCTCCCTTGTCTCTTAGGGCCCTGCCTTCTGCCTGGTAGCAAGAGGATGAGGCTCCAAATGTGGCAGGTAATCCCTCCATTTGCTCCTGTTGCTTTAGGGGTGCTAAGGGTGTTACTCTACCAATCAATTTCCCTTTCACACTCCCTAATTCTCTTAATCTCTAGACCTCTTCTCTGAGTTCCGCCACCAGGCTGAGTAGGTCACCCAGCTAATGGCAGCACACACAGGTGCTGTCCCTGCTGCCCTCCAACAGGACCGACAGGCCCAGGCACTCCCTGCAGCCTGGGACCTGCACCCCTGCATGTCTGTGCGGCAGCTCCCTCTGGGTTGCCACATTCTTTCTGGCGGTGGTTTTGATGCAAGTGGAGACCATGGTTTGGTCTACTCGTGGAGGACGGTAAATTGGGCCTAGCTCAGATAAGTTCTAGACCCCGGAGAGTGAGTGTGCTCTGCCTGCTCGCCCTGCCTGCACGAACTGCCGTGCCTCTCTCTTCTGCGGCTCCAGGCCCTGTTTGCCTGCCCTGGTTGCTGCGCTCCTGGGGGCTGCTCTTATCCGTGAGGGCCGTGGGGTGCCATCACTCCTGTCTCCGCCCACTCTTGAGTCCCTGCTGCCCTCAGCAGCAGCAGCTCAGCCTTCCCGCTCAGGGGGTGCGACTTGAGGCTGTCCCTCTTCCCTGGGCTTCTGCCTTTGCATCTTGTGGTTTTGCCACGGTTTTTGATGCTTTCAGGAGGGTTCCCCGCCGCTGTCCTCCCTTGGAGCCCTCTCCTCAGCAACTGAAGATAGACATGAGACTTGCTTTCCTCCAGTCCTCTCCCAATTGCCATGACACTCAAAGATTTTCAATAGTGGTCTCACAATGATATCTGTCAGCTCCCTCAACATTCATGGGAGCATCTCACTAGGGCCCACAGATTTATGAATGTGCAGTTTAAGTATTCTGTAGCCTGATCCTCTTCCACCAGCGGTATGGCCTCCTTGTTTTTCCTTTTCCCTCTTTCTTTCTTTTCTCCTGTCTCTGGGGCCCAGGACTCTTGAAAGCCAATCTTGAAGGTAAAGATTGAGATGAAGAAGGCACTCAGAAGTTCAGACTTTTTCATGCCTCTGTCATCAGGGCCCCAGGGCATTCAGCAATCAGTCCACATCTTCCCTAGTCTTTTTGCTGCTTATGAAATTCCAGAAGCCCTCCTTTTTGCCTTTGGCATCCCTCACCAGATTAAACTCCACTTGGGTTTGGCCTTCTGAATGATGTTTCTGCATGCTTGGACAGTGTCTCTATATTCCTCTCAGGTTACCTGTCCCTGCTTCTGTCTTCTGTATACTTCCTTTTCATGTCTGAGTTTTACCAGGAGCTGCTCCTCTATCCATAGAGGCCTCCTGGCATCTTTGCCTTACTTCCTGCTTGCTTGGATGAACTGTTCTTTAGCTTGTAGGTGGTGTTCCTTGAATATCAACCAGGCTTCTTGGATCTCTCTTTCCTCCAGGGCCTTATCCCATGAAACTCTTCCAAGATCCCTGAAGAGGCCAAAATCCAGGCTTGTGATCTTGCTTTTTGCCCTGCTCCTCCCTTTCATGATCCTGAACTCTGCAATCTTAGGGTCACTGCAGCCAAGGCTGCCTTTGACCTTTACACCCCCAATCAGACCTTCCTTGCTTGTGAGTATGCAGTCCAGCAGAACACCTTTCCTCACTGGCTCCTCCATTACTTGGGTCAGGAAGTTGTCATTTATGCTCTCCAGGAATGTCCTGATTGCTTACCTTCTGTGTTGTCTCTCCAGCAGATGTCAGGGTGGTAACAGTCCCCCACAGGGATCAGGGTCTGTGGACACGAGGCTGCTTGTAGCTGTCTGTAGAAGGCCTCTTGTTCTTGATCAGATGGCCAACAGCAGATGCCCACTACTATGTCACCCGTATTAGTCTGCTCTTTAACCAGTGCCCATACACTCTCAGTTGGCTGCTCATCCAGCCCTAGGCAGAGCTCCATGCATTCCAGCTGCTGTCTCACATCAAGAGCAACTCTACCTTGTTTTCTGCCCAGCCTGGCCTTCCTAAAGAGCTTCTTTCCATCCATCACAGCATTCTGGTCATCCCACCATGTTCCTGGGATCTCAACAAGACCTTAGCCCTGTAATTGCATGCAGATCTCTAATTGTTCACATTTATTCCTCACACTGTGTGCATTAGTGTACCCTTTAGAATGGCAATCTGTTCCACAACAGAAGAAAAATCTGTCCACTGCCTAAGGCCCTAACACTTAACACTTTCCATGCACAGGACTCTCAGAGAGAACATGGACAGCACGTATAAGGATCAAACAAGCAGAGACATTCAAAGGACAGAGCAATAGGCCAGTGCACTGATCAGGAGTAGGAAGAGTTGGGACACCCTAAAAGACAGTGCCTGAAGCCCAGCATTTGCAAGTGTTTAAACATATATGCTGAACGGGAAAGAGAGGCTCCCCTAGCTCTGGACATTTCCTGTCAAGGATTTCCCCTCCATCTCTCTGCAGAAGCTGCTGCCTGCAGAGCCTCTGAAAGACCAATGCACAGACTGACCAAAGTTTTAGAGGCTACAAGAAGAGATGTGCAGAAAAGATGCCTCTGTAACAATCTGTAGACAGAAATGTGTAACTAGATACATCTGTTTAGTCAGAAATACTGAATGTGTCAATATAAAAATAACATTAAACTACAAGGTCAGAAATGTCTGTGAACAAACACAGATGAGAGACTGTCTGTGCTCCAGATACAAAGACCCCTGCCACTACTTGAAGAATGGGTTTTATCTCCTCTTCTTCAAATGGCTTTGACACTTTTGAGGCTGAATATCACAGGCTTTTGTGTCTGGCTATTTCCCTCAGAAAAAGTTTTTTGGGGTTTAAGGTGATTTGGGGGAAAGGGGAAGGTAGTTCCCATTTGTACCTGGAAGAAGCTTTCCACATATTGCAGCAAATAGACCCCACAATCACTGCTGTTATCTTGTTTAGGCACTCTGGGACACAGGTCAATCATTGTTGATTTACTAAATTCTCGATGTGTTTTTCGTTTAGCTTCCCATTCCACTTCAAGGTACCTACAGAAGAAAGCAAACAGATTAGATACTTGAGAAATAACTCCCAAGCTTAGTGCATTTTGGGATACTACTAAATATTGTTCTGGAGCTGGCCAAAAAGCTAAAATAGCTTTAACGAATTTCTTTCACATGATCTTTTAAACAACACAATTTCCACTGCCCAATATAATATCACGTTCAAAGGCATCTCTACCACATAACATGCAATATACAAAGCAGAAAGATGCATGATTTTATTTTAAAAGTTATTTGTGCTGAGTTTCTTCAAGCTATTAGGATACCAGGACATTTTCAAACCTTAACTAAAGGAAGCACTCAAATAATCTTTCCTGGCTAACACACAGATTTTTTCCTGCCCTTAACCTAAGAGGCCAGCAGTGTTTTTTTAACCTAAAACTTAGAATTCACCTTACAAACAACTTCAGTTACAACTCCACCAATACAACCCTTGCAACCTACTAGTGTAGAAGTATATAAAGACTTACTAAAAACCTTAAGGGATCACTTCTTTAATGGTTATGACTTACTTGTTATCAGGCTTTTCTATTGTTCTTGTGCTTCAGTAGCTACTCACTGACCCCACATTCTGGGCTGGCCACTGATTTTGAAGACGGGATTGAAAGTATAAGGGTCTGACTTTCAAAGGCAACAGTTACCTATACTTTTCTGCTGACTTCAGTCAGAGTTGCAAAGGCTCAGAGCTTATGAAAATCAAACACAGGGTCTGACAATGTATATAATTTTTATTCCCTGAAGTCACACCTTGTGTTTGATTTCTAAAAGCCCCAAGTCCTTGCAATTCTGAGAATAAAAATAAATATAAAACATGCAAAACAGCTTTTGAGAAAAACAGCAGCTGTGAAAAGAAGGCAAACATGAAGCAATTTAAAGATGAAGATGGTTCAATAAGGCACCTTCCCTGAAAACTGCAAGAACCTTTATAATTAATTTGTTCAAGCCTGACCACTGCCAAAAACACAACAAAAATGAACCCAAGGAAAGAAGAGGTCATGGAACCCCTGAATCAGTCTCCTTAAACTTCTGCTTTCAGGGTAAAACTGCAAACTGAAGGAATAAGAGGTGGGCTACCCAAATTTCCCTGATCTCTCAATTCCATAGATCACCTCTTCCTTTTCTGACTTTCATGACATCTCTCTGAACTCTAAGAAACTAGCCTGTCTGGAATTTCAATCCCCAGAGTAGCTCAAAGCATAGAGCACTAAGCTAATACATCCTACAGAGATTTAAAAAAATAAATAAAAATTGCTTTTTCATTCTTCCTCCCAAGACACACATGGTGAGGAGGCCTTTCCACCTAGGGAAGAGATAGTTTCACAAAAGTTTCTGATTCTCATCTAACCCTCACATAGTATTTTGAAGAATTTACTTTTACAAGAAGGAGGTACTATTTGGTTTACAGACTTCTGTTCTTTTCAGTGGAGTACAAGGTATATAAAGACTTGTTAAAAACCTTAAGGGATCACTTATTTATTGATTATGACTTATTTGTTATCAGGTTTTTCCACTGTTCTTGTGCTTCAGTAGCAACTTGCTGAACTGGCCACTGATTCTGAAGATAGGATTGAAAGCATAAAGATATGATTTTTACAACAGAGAACAATAAAACAGAGATCAAAAAGAACAATTCTGTTTAGCTTCAAATATTTAATATTAGCAATAAAAAGCTGCTGATAGATGTTAAAGTCATTAGGAATGTGTAAAAACAGTGACAGTTTGAAGATGGTCTAACACTTACATACTTACCACACAAAAGACTGAATATATTTTTACTCTAACTTTTCAAAACAAATAATACCATTCTGATATAACTATACTGACACATCAAGCTTTTAGACAGCTTCAGTCTAGTTTCTATTTTTTTGCATATAGATAAGAGGGGATTTAACACTGTAATTCTGTAAGTACCATCAAAAAAAATTTAAGATCAGCCCTTTGGAAAATTAAACATTTAAATTTCAAGGTATTAATTTTAAAGAATTTGGCTTTGTACCCTTAAAAACACCCTCCATTACTGAATTGGAGGGGATTAAAAAAAACCCAAAGTGTCCTCTAATTAACTTTCTTCCAGTTTCAAAAAGACCATCCATTTTACAATTTATGCAATATATGTGGGCTGCAGAACAAAGACAGGCTTTTCACACAAGCCTCTGTATTGCTATTGCAATTTTCTTCATCGTGACTCTTTATGGATTTTCCTTTAGTATTAGAAACATACACCTTTATAGAGAAAAGTATTTTGAACACAGAAATATGATCAGCAGAATCTCTTGCTAGTAAACAGAAGCTATAGTTACTTACTCTCTCAAAACCTGAACTGTTTTCTGCACAGAACCAGCTTTCAAAGAATCTAAGATGAGTATACAAGGCCTGTACACGACAAAAACAAACAAGTCATTGTAGTCTTTCATTACCAACACTATTGAAGCTAATTTCTGTTTGAATACAGCTTAACAAGAGCATCAATATCTAAACAAACATGGAAAAAATGGCCAAGTCCCTATAGCTGTGGCTTTATAACAAATAACTGAATTACTGCAGAATTTCTTAATATAATTTAATGATAGAATATGAAAACAGAAACATACCTTTTACAAATCTGCTTTTTGGAATTACTTAGGGAGATCTGGGAGAAGAGAAAATAAAAATAACCTTTAAAAAACCCTAAAACAATTAAGAACTCAAATGTCTTCATAGATTTAAAAGGTAAAGCCAGAGAGGCTCCTGTTTCAGAAAGGGAGAAACTCACAAATAATTTTTAAAAACATGTGAAAGCACAGCATAGGCAACATAGGTTGGCAAAGGAGGACTTTAGGCTAATTTAAAGTGCTTTGCACATGCTGCAGGCTACACAAACATCAACAGCTGCTGCAATAAAGATGATGCAAAATCACTTGGTCAAGTCTCAGAGACTTCAGAAACAGAGTAATACATGTTTCCTTTGTCAGTACAAACAGGCACTTACTTTAGAAAGACATGAATCCAGGATTGAAGCAGAAGCAGCAATTTCATTGCCATCTACTACAAAAGAACAAATTAACGAGTCTTAAGAAATTATTTCCGAACTGAAATATTTTCATTTTCAAATTGATCATTATTAGTATATGATACTGAAGTATAAACTAATTTTGCTTCCCTTCTGAGTGTTCAAATAGCAGAATTACTGAGGACCTTCAATCCTGATAAAATTCTTACTGAAATCCAAGAACTTTCCACTCATGATGGGATTTGAGCCAATGATTTTACATGTCCCTTACAGTATTTTCCAGAGTTGCAGACAAGAATGCAGTGCAGTCCTTGTCATGCATGGTAATATAAAAACATATTACATCAATCTTGATGTGAAAGGTACTTTTTAAAGACATCATATCCCTCCAAGTATTATGACACTCTTAAAACTGTATGGCATTCCATATTTTTCTTCTAGATTACCTACCTTTTGAGAATAAACTTCTGGTAGCATCCATTTCTTCTTCATCCTTGCAGTTGCCAGGAAAGACCAACACTGAACCAGGTCTAGTGTTCTCACTCTCTGACCAAAGTGGAGACTGTTGAGGCTGGTGATACTCTGAATTCTGATGGGGACAGTCCTCATACATAGCTTCTTCTAACCAAGGAAAACAGACAACTGCAATGTACCAATGAGACCTGCCCAAGGGGGGGGAAAACGTTAAAACTACATTACATTTGTTTCTGAAAAGGATATGAAAAGTTTTTATAACATCAAGAGCTCACGGACAACTGTTCTGTGGCACATAACCATCATTCCCATGTTTCTTCATGGCATCTCATACTAATCCTCTCATTCATTTTTCACTTTGAACTGTGGCATAACAGCAAATGTATCAATTTTTTTTAAAAAAAAACAGCAAACCCACCACAGCAATATATCGGTGTCTCAGCATCTATACCACACCAAAACCCCCCCCAAAAAAAAACCTGTGATGGTGATCCCAGATTTAATTATAGCTAAAGGTACGGCATGCCTCTAGCCTTATCTCTTTCTGCAGCTACTTTGCATATGTAACTCTCAATGACTAATTCAGTTTTACTGGAGTTTCCATGTGCAGGTCAGTTATTCAACCAGCCCAAGGCACAGACCATGGAAGTGCTACACCTGATCAATTGATACTATCAGTTGCTGTGATTTCTTTATAGAAATATTACTTAAGTGCACTGAAGTCATCATAATGGCACACAAATTATTTTGAAAAATACATAAAAGTAATTTTCAGTAAAACAGAAACCAAAGATGCAAAGTTTACTAAAGACAACTAAATAAAAAGTTTAACTTTTGAAGAGACTTCAAAATTACTCATTCCACACCTGTTACTTCCTCAAAATCTAATGTGTTCATTTCCAATGATTCAAGGTTACAGATATCACCACAACATTCAAATGTTTATATCTTTAAATATCAGAAAAGGTGTCTAAAACACATAGACTTACTCCTCATTCACAGGCACAAAGATATAATCTTTACTGAAGATGTTTATATGACGAGTCCATGTTCTTACTCTTTTGTGTCTTCTCTGTGCTGCTCTGCAGAAACCAAATGACAATTGTTGTTTGGATTTGTTCTTTTTAGTTAAAGCAAGGTGTAGGGATTAATACTCCTACATCTTTCCAGACCCTCAGTGGCTTTATTATTTACTCTTGAAATTTCCCCAACAGAGAAAAAAATAAATCAACACACCATTATGCCCAATTGACTAATGAACCATTTCTTAAACTCTTCTGGAAAAAAATCATCCACACATTTGAAATTATTTCCTGCAGTTTTTTATCCAGTAATTATTATTTACTATACTAAGTGCAAAAATCTCATCTAAACACCAGCCAGTGTAAAAACAGATCTATATCCCTGAATTAAACTTCACAATACCACTTTAGAAGACCTGTCTGAACAACTTTCACTTTTGAAGGAAAAAGCTAAATGACTTGCACAGGGTCTTGCAACACACCTGTAGCAAAGTCAGAACTAAGACAGATTTCCTCCAGTCCTGAGTTTTAAATGCTGGAGCAAAATTCCAGTCCTACAGTCAAAGCATGAGGACAGAATACTACAAGAATAAGAAAAATTTAAGAAATCTAAATTTAGATTTTCAACTTTCTTAGTTTGCACAAGTTGAAATAGAAACCAATGGTTCACAGAACTTTGTTCCAATATGATCGGAAAGCAAAATTCACTACTCAGGAGACATCCCTATTACCATTCTGATTCCGCCCTGATCTGTGATCAAGAAATGTAGCATCAGTGTAGGAGGAACGGGAGGAGTGAGGAATGGAAAAACAGGCTGCTGTGGGACTCTGCATGAACCAACATTAAGTGATGACTTGCTGCAAATTTCCTCTGCTACATGACTCTAAAACCACTGGGAACTTGGAAGGTGTGTTTGCAGCCTGGGAAAGCACCTATATAAAGGAGCTTTCCCAATCTACTGCCTAAGCAGTGGGAATAAAGGGAAGCAAAGGGTCTTTAAGGTAAGTAGTTACATCAATTGAGATTAACTTCAGTTACAAGAGTACGGAGCCCAATTTTCCACTATCCATTTATCCAAAAAAACCCCACAGAAACAAACAAATAAAACCCAAACCACCTGTAATCATCAGGCAAGTATCTAGGCCCAAACACAAAACTAGAATTTCCAAAGCTATCTCCTGATCCAGAGCAGTTACAGTCCTTGAAATGTGAGGAATTAAGAGTGCCATTCCAGTTCCTCAAGGAGGTTATGGACAGTCCAGCCTTGTAAAAGGAATCGGATCAAGACACAACAGCATTCTTAACATGGATAATGTTGCCTCCACCTCAGAACATTCAGGGTCAGAAGACAGTAAAATGATGGAAAACATTCTCTCAAGCACAGGTCCCTGAATTTTTGAGACATCTTTGAGGATATTACAGAAGTTGAATTTTTTTCCCTTTAACATAGCTTTTACCCAGCAGTGACTGTAACACAAACAGGATGACACATTCTTTGTGCAGGTGGCCTTGTTTGCCAGTAGAATGAAAAACCTAGGGACTTGACAGATAACAGCAGAAAAATCACTTCAGAGAGAAACAGAAAAAAAAAATTTATAAACTGAATGGTGAAAACAGAATTAAAAGTTGCTGGTAGATCACCACTGTAAGTAAAATGGCAGGGCAAGCTCCACTCTTTAACCTCAGTGTTGAGAAGAACAGAAAGTGTGCTAGGGATGGTCCTACCCTTTATACAGTCTTAGCCAGAAACGCAAAGTGATACAGGCTTCCTGAGCTGCTAATGATACCTCTTTGTGAAACTCTCCAATTCCACTGTGCTCATGTATTAATAAACAAATGTGTAAACTTGGTAAAAAAATATTCTTACTAAAAACATGGAAAATAATTTATTACCACTATGTAAAATATGTGGTAAATTGAAAAATATTTTTAGAATACAATTTCTTAAAATTATGAATGCCTTGCAAAACCCTAAGTTTATAATAAAAAGTTCAAAGTAGACATAATTGTCTGAAGTAAAAATTCAGATAAAGTTGAAGAAAGGTGATATCATTTTCATTTATATTCAGTATGAATCACATGTAGATTTTAATTAAAAAAAAAGCAGTATCCTTAAATTGTTATTTACAACATTTAACCACTAATCCTTTAGAGAATACTGATTACTATTTTATGTGCTAATTAGGAGGTGATCTGCAGTACTTCCACGTGGCACCATTATTTCTAGTCATAATCACATCTAAAATGAACTTACGAAACTTTGAGATCCCCCTCAGAGTTTTTTTCTGTCCTGGTCAGGCACTTATAGAAGAAACTGCTAAAAATGTGTGTACGGTCAGCAAGATGTTTTGGTGCCTTCTCCAACAACAGGTATCTATCAAGGAAAAAATAAGGAAATTAAATTTCTTTTCTAGAAAAAAGTACAATTACTGATAAAAAAGGACAATTATTCTAATGACTCATCGTACTCAGGTTATGCTTACTATCAGTTGCCTTCGTAGCTGCTAATCATGCCAAACTTTTCTCTCTATTTTCAGCATGCACATGGGTGGACATCATCAGAGTACGTAACAGCCAAGCAACTACTAAGAAAGCAGTTATTTTTTTATCTCAGATTTGTGCTCCAGTATTAATGCTTCTGATTTTATTTTGAGAGTTAAATTCCTAGACCTTTCAATTAAGACAGGCTTGGAAACCTAACCGAGTACAAACCTATGGAGTGTTATACTCCTGTGTATACAAAAAGCACAGAACAAATTTGTACTATAAATTGTCCACTTTACTTCTACAGGTTATGCATGTGAAAGTTAAGACAAATATTCTACAAGTGCTCATTCTGTATGATTTTACTGTTGATCATTATAAACATCAGATTATTTTTTCTTCCTAGAAGGCCAAAGCTCTCATAATTGCAGGCATACTACACAAGGTGCCTCCAGCTTCAGCTGATGACTTGGCCAACACAAGACATACATGATGCAGCTTGCAACACAATGAAAACTGAGAATGTCGGAAGTCTAACAAACTAAAAAAGCAGAGGGGTTTCTGCGATGATTGCATTAAATTCCTTTATTCAAATCCTCCTTTTCTAGCAAGATGAAGCTACAGCTATTGAGAGGACCATGTGGCATGCTTTATAAATAGTTTAGAGCAAAATACAAGGGGCTTTGCTGTAAAACTGCATCAAAACACTCTGGTACACATTTCCTTTCCCACTCTAGACAAGAAGTTTTAACTGGCTTCCTAGGAATTCTTGCAGACAACCTTCAAAAGAGCCAGAATTCTGCTTAGGTTTAAGTCAGCACAGGGAAAATAAACCTCATCTTTAGGGAATGAAGGCCCACAATGCCAGTTCTGAAAAACTTGCTTTCACATGCAACTTTAGCAGGGTGACATAAAGCAGGTAAGCCAAACACAACTTCCTCAAGAAGTAATAGCTGTGTTCCTTTCTGCAGAAGCTGTGCATCAGAAGAATTCCTGAATTCACACAGAATAGCAGAGGATGCTCCACTTCATGCAAACTTAGTAAATAAATTACTAGTACAGACCCTCTACTTTGTTCAAATGCCTGCTTAAAACTGCCCTGCGCTGTTCTGTGAGGTTGCCAAGAGGCTTTTCTCCCACAGATATTCTGTCTGGATTATATCAGAGCTCTTTAGAGGGACAAGAATGAAACTGAAACAAATGAAACTGCTGAGAAAATACAAAGCTTTAAAGAGTCCAACTTACAAATTCATCATACTGTTACTTCTGAAATTGTTGTATTTAGTGACCAACATTTACAGTAACATTCAAGTCCAGATCAGGTCCCAGAAAGAAGGGTACAATTAAGGCTGTGATTACTTACTTAAGATAGAAATCAATGATGACATCATTGAGAAACTCTCCATATTCTAAGCACTCTAGGTCTTCTCTTGTGACTCCCAGTCCTCCTTTTGCGGGTGGGGGTGGATAAACAATTAAGCTGGAAAACACAAATCACAACAGTGACAAACTGTGTTTTACTTGACATTCTTCTTAGTATGGCTGTTCCACATGTAGAAGATTTTCTAGAAATCCTGTTAAAAGTCGTAGTTCTCAAAACTGTTGACTAACTCAAAAGTTCTTTACCATTTCTTCCTCCAATAGATAAGTGTTATGAAAGAAACATGCACCCCAATGCACGCTGAAATTTTGATAAAAACTTTTGAAAAGGAAATAATTTTTTACCTTCATCTTGGTTTTCTATTTTTGATAAAAGATTTTGACAAATGGCTATATAAAATGGCAAGAAACACTAGGGGACGTATTCTCAAATTATATGAATGAACAGTGATTTTCTATTCATTGAAACTCCAATAAGGACTTCCACATTTCCAAGCTGGAAGCTGAGTTTACACACCATGCAGCATAGGTACTGTAAATGCTTTTGAACTGCCCAAGTTACCTCTAACACTAGTATTTAAACAGCTCTAGATTAACAACCACGTTACTTAACGGGAACCAATTGCTATACTGTCAATAAAAACAGTGATGGCAAAAGGCAAGAGTTCTTAAGAGCAATTTACTTCGCTAATGTTTGCCATATTAGAAGTATGAGGACTAACAGGCAAGTGCAAACAGAACTGAGACATCAGCAGTCTCCTAGTATCACACTGCATTACATATTTGCGTGTTCATATTTTCTAATGTCTTTTGTTAACCAAGCTCCTCTATTAACTGGTAAATTGTATGACAAACTAGAGTGTGACAGAACAGTGAAAGAAAACATTATTTAGATTTTAAAAGAAAGGTTCGGTTCAAGTTAGCAATAGTTTTGCTGTGATACAGACTTAGATGGACACTCACAGAAGCCATGAGGTCCCTACCCTCCCATTCATGCATCCATGATATGAGCTTGTAGTCACAGCTCAAGTATTCTCTAACTTCTGTGAGATTTTTCTGTCATTCTGTAACATGTCCATTTTGTCTGTTAACTATTAGGATGGAAACAGGAATAACTACATTCATACTTGGTGATACTATTTTAGATTTCTAGAGCATCTTTCACACAACACTTGCAAATCAACTAGAGAACCATAGTTAATCCACAGCTTTTATTCCAGCAATTTGTTTATTCAGTTCGTTTTATTTTCATCTTCTTATTTATATGAAATATACTTACTTCTTAACTGCTCCAATTTCTCTTACTTCTTTCCATTCTTCATTCAGTGCAGAGGACAGAGAGATAGAATAGAAACCACTACTCTGTTTATTTGCAAGGGCATAACTGGGCCTGGCCACTTTTGGTCTCGATTCCTATAAAAAAAAATCCAAACAATAATAATAGTAAAAAGCATTATATAACTTAATATGTAAAACAGAACACACAAAAAAAACAAGCCTGAGGCCCACAGGAGTATCCTGCATCACTGAAAAGGAATTTGGCTGGAGAGCATAAGTATAAACATCAGTATTGTGGTGGTTTAGGCCCTGCCGGGACCAGAGACCACATTGCTGTTGTCCCTCCCCCACCCTCAGACACAAGTAGGGCACAAACCCCGTGTTAAAATAAGAAGAAATTTAAGATAACAGTGTGATAAACAATCTGAACAACAACAGTAGCGATAATAACAACAATAAACAGCAACAACAGTAACCAAGACAAAAGATATATAGAGAAATACCACAGTGGTTACAGACAGCCCCGTGTTTCCCGCGACCAAAGCCACAGAGGAAAGAGTTCCCGCGCTGCCACGCCCGGACCTGGCATCAGCATGGTATGAATAACCTGGCTGGAGATCCCTTCCCCCTCTCTACCCTATCCTAGCTGAACCAGGACAAGGATTTAGGCAAACATGCCACTGCTCAGACAATAAAAAGTTTTGTCCATTTTAAAATGATGACAGGTCTTCATCTGTTTATAACCTCTCTCTAAAACTGTTTAAGCATTATTCAGCCAACTGACACAGAATTGGTTTTGGAGAAGAAACGGGACCTGAAAGGATGGAGACAAGTATCAGACTGTCCTACTAGGTGCTGTGTATGCTTGGAAGGTATGAAAATCTGGTTCTTAATTTGCCTAAAAAAGATACAGATTTGAACTGCCTGGCTCAGTTTTTAAGTTTCCAGATTCACAGCCAGACTGATTTGTTGTCTCTGTGCTTTCTACCGATGGGAACAAACATACGTAATTTCTGAAGTGACAATGATGTGGAGTTGGGTTGAGACATTTACTCCTCAGAGGGAGGTGTATTAACACATTAATTTGCACAGCCCCATCTCCCCAGCAGCCTTAGGAATCATTTAGCATTTCAAGCTGTGGAGCCCCCACAAGAATGGTGAGGAACAAGCAAGGTACAGAGCTACTCCTCTGCTGCACCCCTTCTGTCACAAACTCTTCATGAACAAGAAACTGTTTATAAAGAGGATGTCTCCAACTCGAGTGCGAGGTCCTGTGGGGGCAAAGTGGAGCGAGCTCTGCCGAGGTGGGGCAGTGGGCCATTTCTCTCTCTCTCCCTACTGTTGTTGCCCAGAGAGAGAACTATCCTAACTGCTCAGGTACAAGCTAAAGAAAATGAGAACTTTCTGGAACAACCTACTGTGCATGCGCAAGACTCTATAAAGGCAACACCCCATGTGTGTCTTTGTTGACCCGTCATCTATGGACCATGCTGGCTACTCTGCGACAACATGGGATCCAAGGGCGGTGATCCTCCTTTTTGCTATCCCCTCCTCCTCTCTTTTGTCTTTCCTCTTTCTGCTCTCTCTCTCTCTCTCTCTCTCTCTTACTTATTCACATGCATAAGTTTTGTAGGAATTAAATTGGGATTGGTGGTTCATTGATGGATTATTAGGAAAATAGTCTCATGCCAAAGTGCCTTTATTAGTTCTCCTGACACTTATCAGCTGATTGCTGCCGAATTGTCTCTATTCACTTACTAAAGTGGTCAGTTAATAAAGTCACCAGCACAGTTGTTCCTCTGAGGCACTGTGGTGATTCAGCGCACCCTGCAGCTCTGCCGAGCAAAGACTGGCTCTTCCACCCGCACGCAGGCCCTGGGGAATTCAAAAGATTCACCCCCCTCATAACCCACTGAGTGTGTTGGTTTAAGCCTGGCCAGGACCAGAGACCACGTTGCCGTTGCCCCTCCCCCTCCCTCAGCCGGTCAGGCTGGAAGTGAGGCACAAACCCTGGGTTAAAATAAGAAGAAATTTAATACAACAGTGTGATAAACAATCTGAACAACAACAGCAGCAATGGTAACAACAGTAAGCAGTAATAACAGTAAACAAGACAAAAGATATACAGAGAGATACCATAATGGATACAGACAGCCCCGTGCTTCCCGCGACCAAAACCCACAAAGGAAGAAAATTCCTGCGCTCCTGCGCCCGGACCTGACATCAGCATGGTATGAATAACCTGGCTGGAGATCCCTTCCCCCTTCTCTGCTGGGGAAATTTAGCCCTATCCTAGCTGGGGACAGTGGGATAAGACACCTTCTTTTCCAGCTCAACTGAAAAATGGATTCATCACTCATTACTTGATTACTGCCAACTTGCTGTCCTGAAGGCAGGACAAGGGCAGGAAATCCCTGTGGTTCTAGGCATACATAACCATGAGTCAAGCTTAAGTTTTAGTATTTGCCACTTAGTGAAGAGGTCTATACACTATCCCTCCATGGACATAATCTAGTTTACTGCAAATCTTGCCCCACTGTGGAAGAGAAATCACAAACGTGACTGGTTTTTTTTGAGCTATGGATTAAGAAAGAAGGCTTATCTAAAATTTACTAGAATGTGTGAATGCTAACAGGTGGTCATGAATCGAGTAATAGCTACACACTAACCTGAATTGCAGGCTCATGGGCTTCCAAGGTACCCACTTTTGGCATACATTGCTTTAGTAGATCCTTACTGTAACTCATAAAAGAGCTCTCTTCAGGAGAAAGGTCTTTCAACAAGGGTAATGCTTGCTTCAAAGACAAAGCCTCAGAGAGATCTGGTGCTCTGTTCTTCTTGCTCACACTTGTAATCAGTGCATTTAGTCTGTCTTCTTTCCATTCTGTGAGTGGTTGGGATAGTTCAAGAAAGACAAATTCACTAGATTTGGCTAGAAAAAGGAGAGAAAGGATAGCATTAACTATTAGCTTATGTGATAAAAACTTTTCTGCACACCCACAAAAGAACACAGAGACACAATGGCAGGAGGAAGAGCCCAAATAATATCCTGCTACATTCATCAGAGGCCACCAGCCCTCCAAAGGCCCACCTCCACAGGCCCAGAGGAGCACACGGGCACAGTGGCAGGAAGAAACCCTAATTAAGGGCTGGGAGAACGGGACACCCCCTCTGGGCTCTTCCCAGGGCTTCCCTAGGAGATCCTCAGCCCCAGGGTCCAGACCTGAAACCCATGAAAATGAGTCAGTGCCAGAGCACCTTTTGGACTGAGAAGGTGCTACTGCTGAGGTGTATGGCACATGTGACAGGATGCAGGGGAAGGACATTTTGGGATTGCACAGGGCTTATTATGGGATGTTTAAGGAAAGAATCAAAGGGAGGCATTTAGGTAGGGGGGGGGCAAACATAGGAAAATAGAGGACTAAGGGCATAAAAAAGATCAGTCACATCTAAATACTTTGCTGGTTAATACACTTGTCTGGCCATGCCCTGTGCATTGATCAGCACACTCTGTCCTGCCATCTTACTGAATCCCTCTATAAATCTCTCCTGGATGAAGGAGACTATTTGATGTGTGTGTATGGGGGCCCGAGCACAGCAAGTGGAGCGAGTGCGTGTGTGCAAGAGAGCATGATTATTAGTGAAGAGGAAGCCAAACTAGGTGAACGGGTGAAGTGCCCTGGAAGCCAGGAGGGTGAGCAGGTCCCTCCGGGACAGCTCTGGCTGTGAGTCTGCCTATGTATCTCTAAGGATGAGAGCACAGCAGGGTCAACTACTGGGACCAGGGAAGTCCTGGCCAGCTGTGTGCCTGCATGCACATGATAGTCTGTTCCACCAACTGAACTGGCCTCAGTGGCTTGTATGTCCAGGTGCCAGCAACTGGGGAGCTGGGATCCAGGGTCAGTGCCTAGGCAGACCGAGCATCTGAGCCCAGTTGACAGAGGCATTCACCTTGTACATATGCGTGTGTATATATACATATATGTTTGTGTATTTTCTCACTAGTGGGCCTCCATCCTGCTCAGCCAGAGAGGGGAGTAGGATGAGGCTGTTGGTGCAATCTGTGTTTGTATGAGTGCTGTGTGTCTGTGCCATCCGTGAGGCAAACTACGCGTCCATGTGGTGTATGTCAGTGCTCTGTGTGCTCTACCTATTGGGACTACATCTTCAGCCTTGCTACTGGTTGGACCTGGCGACATGGAGCTGCAGCAGCCTCACCCCTCTCAGGCTGTCAGACCTGGCACTACATATTTTTCTCTAATATTAACACACTAAGAAGGCAGAGGAAAATCACAGCAACCACTTCCACAGTCTGTAAAACAATCACCGATTTGTTTCAACAAGTCTCTACATACATTTCAAAATATTTAAATTACTAGATATTTAAAAGGCATAAAATATTCAAGCATAGAAATTTAATAACAACTCCTGAAGGTTTCTCCTACAACAAGAATGTGATGAAGGTAAATAAAGCTAAGATTAAAGAGTGCCTCACAGCTTCATACTCAGATTGCACTCATTTCACTGTCAGCTGTGTCTACAGAAGCTATCAGCAACTGATAAACTTATGTCAAGTAAAGGTAAGTCACTGCTAAAATTTTACGCAGTATCTCACTTCCAACCACTCGTGCTCCTTATGTAAAGATAACATTATTTAAAATTTTCTTTCATACAGATGGTGATTGTACAGGGTATACATACCGTTAAATTTCATATAGGTAACTCTGACATCATCATTTTGCAATGATTTTGCCAATGTAAAAACCTTGTTATGATAGTGCCACTCTGAATACTTTGTAAAACTGAGTCTAACTTTTGCCTAAGCTTCACACCAGAAAAACAGATAGAGTCAGTCCATAATACCCTACAAACTAAATAGCCCATTTGGCCAAACTAAATGGCCCATTTGGAAACGTTCTCCAATAATAATGCAATGGACCAATGCAGTCTTGTCAAAGCTCACATCAACTTTCGTCTGCCAAGCCGCTCCTTTAGCATATACATTACTCAAGAGTAAGGACACTTAAAACATCCAATTTGTTTTAAAGGGAGAGATACTTTATACACAAGCCTAGTAGTTTCAGAAGGCCTCCTCAGGCAGATTACAGCTGAACTATGTTACAAGATTATTTTATTAAGTAGCAGTGGATTTGTATCACTGTTACCTTTTTCTTTCAAATACAAGTATACATATATAATGAGGCATTTTAGAAAAGCAAAATGGACCAACCTTTAAAAAAAGCTATAGGCTTTCCTCAGTATTCCAGAAGCACAACTGTAAAATAACTCCTTTACTGACATGCCATATATTAGACCTTTTCACTGCATTCAAAGGAAAGAGATTACTCACATGGCTTGCTGGTAACTAACTTTCCTAGTTGGGTTTCAATTTTTTCCACATAATCTACAGATAACCAAAGGAAAATTATCATTGCTGAAGAACTGCCACCATCAACTCTCCACAAGCCAAATCTTCTCAGATCCAGAGTATCCACTGTCAGCTTAATATTCTTATTAAGAGCCACTGTATAAGAGAAAAGTTAAAATAACCACATCTTTCACAGCCAAGGATAAAGTCACACATCACAGTAATTGCACACTAAAATATAAGTATGATCAGAGTGTATTAAAACAGTACTTGTAGATTTTATTCCTGGTATTACATAAAATGTGTTGAGAATTTAATACCTAAATCAGTTACATCAAACTATGTAAAACAAAGTTACCAAAAATGTAACCCCAAAAGTTAAACATCTAAATGAAGGATTCTTCATGAAATAAATTATATTTTTGCTCAGAATAAGCACAGTTAGTACTACAAATATAGCAAAAAAAAATTGCAAATCATGAACTCCTACTGACTTTCATTCAATTCAGTTCAGACCTACTCACAAACCTTCTCCTAGAAGATACAGAAACCACACATCACCTTTGGAAAATGGACTGAATGCACATCCACACTTACATTCCTCTTAGCTTTAGTCAATTCATATGTTTTTGTTTAATAAACCCAAGGGCCTAAACCCTTACCTGAAAAGATTAATGTTTCACCTCAAAAACATGTGTAGTCATATTCAAAACTTAATATATGCAGGAATGCAGGAGGCAATGCCATTAAAACTGCAAGTTCACCTTAAAAGTTAAGAAGCTGCTACGTTTTTAATGCTTACACTATAGACACTGATCCTTCTATTTATTGAAAAATGGAAATTGTAAAAATTATTTAATGTCTTCCTGAAAGCAAATAAGATTACAAGTTATTCATAATATAAATATATACCGAGTATTTTAACACAATATTTTAAAGATACAGTTGAGAGAATGCTATAGGAAGAAAATTCTCTTACCCTGAAATGGGATCGTAATACACTTGGTTGTAAACTGAAACAAGATTTAAGAAGTATAAATTAGTTTGGGTTTTAACAATTGGTTAAAACAAAGTTAGAATTTTTAATTATCTGCATATTTTCTTTTGCTTATAGCCAAATAAACTGAAAATAGTATCATAGAATCATTTTGCTTCGAAAATACCCTTAAAATTATCAAGTCCAACTGTTAACCTAACACTACCAAGTCCAATATGCCTAGTTTGAGACTTAATATTGCCTGTTTCACCTAAAACAACACTCCTAAATATATATTGCAGAATCTAAATGACAGCAAAGTCAGTTCCAGAGGTGCTAAGCACTGAGAAATAAGCAGAAAGATGTGAAGAAGAAAAAAAAATTATAAGCACTTGGGACAAAAGGGGCTTAAGCACCTCGTGATAAAGACTGTCAGCTGCACTGTATGAATTAAGGACACTCTATACTTTGCTATTTACATTAACCTTTGAATTAAAGGCCTTTAAATTTCCACTTACACTGCGCTATGTTAAAAGGACTTGGCTAAATAAGGAATGCTTTATTGTCACTTTGACAGAAGGTTGTCACATACATTGAGAGAAGAGGTTTCATTAGCACAGTAAGTACAAAGTTGTTTTTTTCCAAGGAAAATTTTCACTTTCCACCTAAAAGCACTGATTCTAAAAATATTTCAACTCATCCTTCAAATTATTTCAGCATATTAAATTAGGCAATTTTCATTAAATGTTTTCATCACTGCATGAGAACTGAAGCACAAAAAATAGTGTTTGGTAAAAAGCTGAATTTACTACAATCCGAGATTTCAAAATGCCTTACTGTAAGCAAAAAGATATACATGCTTAAACATTTCTTTTTCAATTGCAATAGAATGAGCCTGGTAAAACCCGTTGAAACTCCTGCAGCTGGTTCTCCATTTGAAGTACACCTTCACTTACATTTCTTTACCCTGTGAGTAGCATGCTGCCTATGCACTAATGCTTTTAGTATTGTTTTTATGTTCTTTAAAGCTACAAAATAAGCAATTTTCTGTTTAAAAGGCAAGATTAGTGCATAATACATATCTGAACTCTGATCACTATGTATTACTTTATTCTAATATCTGTACTATTTCTGAGAAAAGTAACTGGTATTTATTTCAAGTGACATTAACATGGCCATTATTTTCCATTAGATTTCATGAAAAGCTTCCTCAGTATAATTTCTGTTCCAGTTCAGCATTTATACAGAACCTTTACCTCTGAAAACTGGGGCCACAGAAAATCCCAATTAGCCTCTCTACTGACAGCAATCCAAACATACAAGGTAATGGACTACACACTCCATTGCTTAGCCAAAGCAATCAGATGCAATAATAATCAAAACTCAGTGCTTCCACGCAAAGTACCACTAGCTTTGCTCAACCAGAATTATAATTTTTATATATTCTCAAAATATCACCATAATAGAACAACTTACCCTAGCAGGACCTGTTGGTAACCATTTAAATTTCCCAATGTACAGATTATCAAATTCAACATCCAATCCTGGGGCCATCTCTTTTCTAGATGTGCTTCCAGGAGGTAAACTGATAGGACATTTATCTTCAAATGACTCTGTTAAAAACTGTGGGGGAAAAAAAGTATATTTACTACAGGCTTTTAAATGAGATATGTCCCTGCTGTAAACTTAGGAGTTTTCATGTTTGTAAGAATTTACTCCCAAAGCCAACTCTCATATAAAAATTCCATATTAAAAATCTTTAAATGTTATTACAACCATTACTGACAATGTCCTTAAGGGCATAACAGTATCTTTCACTACCTCTAAAGCTCTCACTGCGAAGATATAGCCTGTGCTCTTTACTAATCTAGAGCCAAGTGAAAAATGAAACAACAGAGCAACAAAAAATACACCTCTTGATATCAAAGGCACAGGATCCAATTCAATGCTTAGGATCCAAATGATGCACCTGTGAGAAGAGGCAGCAATGGCTCCTCTACTTGTTTCAGTATTACAGGGGGAACCCAAATCCAGGTCAAAGCAAGCAGCACAAAGCTAATCAAGTCTAAAATGGGGCAACAACCTTTATGGCTAGTTTTAGATTCAAATTCTACCAGTAGCCACACAGGAAGGGGAACTTTACCCTATCTCTGTCTGCTGTCAGCAAAGACCCTTGAACTTCTCTATGCACTGAATTACAAGAGAGGACTGGATGACATGAAGAAACTACTGGCTTGAACTACAATGAACATAAAACAGTGTGAAAAAAAGTTTTTTCACAGTCCTATCTTCATCATGTCTACCTCTAGCTCAGGTTACTATTTGATCCTTTCTGTTTCCTAATATTAAACACTTCCAAATGCTTGCTTTCAAAATATGAAATACACTGTATGTTGCAAAAATACTGAAGAGCCAGAGATCTTCTCTGAAGGCTGTCCAGAATTATATCTGTGAAATAAATTAATGCAGATACTGCTTGTTGCTGGAACTAATTGTACCTGCTGTAAGCATTTCACTTTTGTTCTAATATACAAGAAAAAATAAACATTGAAGAAATAAATTAAATAGCTGGCATAACAATACACAGACTAAAAACTGGACTACCTTCTCTGTGTGACTTTCCATGTTGTTTTCCAATAGCTTTGCTGAGAAACAGAAGTCAGACTGTTGGTCTGTTTCTTTATTGTCAGTGATATTATCCTGCAGCAGCTCTGTGCATTCAGAAGGTCCATCCTCATCATCATCATCACTGGAAAGGACAACTAAAGAGGAAAAAAAAGTATACATATACTACAGGACACAGACTTGACAATATTTTATTGTGGATTTCAGACAAGCAAAGAATTCTCTCTTGCAGTATGCAACATCAAAGTACATTGCCCAAACCAGTCAAGGTCTGTATGCGTGAAAGTGTATGCAACAAGCACTGCTTTGTACCTTTATTACCACTTTTTACTCAAGATCCTCAAAATTATCTGACTATTAAAAGAAACAGGCCACAACATAGTTGCTTCAAAGAAGAGAGAGTATTTTTTTCTCAGTTTAAGCATCATTAAAAGTACATACTCGATTTTCCACAGCCCTAAAATCAGCTGCAACATAAGGATTGGAATTTGTTTCTCAAGAGCAAGACCCTCTATACTCCAGTAGAGGACACTGGCACTAAGCACTGTTCTCTAACCTGCACAATCCATTACAAACACCACAATCTCTGTCTTCAATCTTTTGTTCCATGTTTCAACTAGTTAGTTACGCATGAGTTCTAGTACCTAAACATACTAATAGTAACTGTCAGCAGCACAGATCAGTACATACTTGGGTCAACTGAAGCAGGTTGCCGATCACCCCTGCTGATTCTGTTACGCAGCTTGCTCAGGTACTGCGAAGTATCCATCTTTAATTTCCTGATGGTACTAACTTGTGGTGAAATTACATCCTCACTGGTGGCAGAAAGCTGTTTCTCTGACAAATTTCTGTGAGGAGACTCTGAGCCAGGTTTCTCTGTGCAGCTGTGAGCAGGACTTAAGTGGTTGTGGGTGGAAATGTCTTTACAGTCTCTTTCTAATGGCTGGGAAATACAATCCGGCACCAGAGTTGTATTGGATCTGTGACCTTGTTCATCTTCACAGGGTGTTCTGCAGCGAGGAGACTGAGTTGAACTCAATCTTCGCTCTTTCTATAATACAGGAAACAGTGACAGGTTATATGTTTATTTCTTGACATTTCTATGATGGTTCAGATCAGTGATCACTGAGATATGTATGTGCTAGACAAAATAATTACAGCTTAACATAGCTGCATTTAGAGCTCAAGTGAGGGTAATGTCTCCCTCCTCGTATTCCAAAGGTTATTACATAAAGGCCTGAGGGACAAGCTTTTAGAAGTTTACTACAACTCCCATTCAAACTTGCCATGGATTCAACCTGGCTGCAGCCAAACACCACGCAGCCACTCTCTCACCCTCCCCCACTCCCAGGGATGGGGGAAAGAGTTGGAGGGGCAAAGGTTAGGACACTTGTAGGTTGAGATAAAAACAATTCAATAATTGAAATAAAATATAATTAAAATAATAGTAGACAACACGAATGGATAATACACAATGTGATTGTTCATGTCCTGCTGACTGATGCCCAGTCTGTTCCCAGCTAGTGATCCCCAGGAAGAGAGAATCCTGAAACCACCATCCCAAAAATCTGAGTGGAGCTTCTCAATCCACCCTTATCATATACTGAGCATGACATTAGCTGATATGGTATATTCCAATCGCCAGTTTGGGTCCATTGCTTTGTCTGTGCTTCCCCCGCCCCCAGCTTCTTCTGTACCTGCACACTTGCAGGACATGGGAAGTTGAAAAGTCCTTGATTTCTTAGCAAAAACGAAAAACATCAGTGCACTATTAACATTCTTCTCATATTAAATCCCATACTGAACCCAAAACACAGCACTACTATAGCTACTAAGAAGGAAGGGAAAAAACAAAAATCAACCAATTGGCTCTATCCCAGCTGAAACCAGGATAAAACCGAAGAAACTATTTCTGATTTTTTTAGCAGCTCTCTCACTGTCTGACACTGAAAGACCAAGCACCTGTGATGTTCATTACTTCGCAAATGTGTGGCTTGGTCAACTGGGTGAACAGGACTCAGCAACTATGTGTGTCTGTGGGGTTTTAATCAGAAGGTTATAGAGATGCCTTTATTGTATTCAAATGCTTGAATATAAATCACAGTTTGCACTGATTCCATCAGTCCTTTTTTTTTTTTTTTTTTTTTTTTTTTTTTTTTTTCAAATCTCATTGACAGATTAGAATAAAACTTTAGGGAAGAGTATGCCAGACTGAGGAGAAAGGAGAAAGGACATTTGCAAACTTTCAATAACCTGAGGTATACTTTGTAATTTTTACATCTAAGTCCCTAATTAGTTCTGTATCATCTGGGAAAGAAGCCTCACTTAAGTAGCTAGATGCCTTATTTCCAAAATTGTTTTACTCCATGCTCCTACCTGAAGGAAACATTGTCATTCACTTCTCACAACCTTTATATTCTGATATTGCCAACAGAAGTACATATGCCTCACTCTTCTTTATGCACCACTGAACTACTTTCCTTCAACAAGTGTAACAGTATCCCTATATACCCTACTTATTAGTATAATTCTTTCATTTTGGATGTTGCTACTGCTGCTACTGAAGTGTGTGTGAATGTGTGTATACAAACACATACATTAAAATTAAGTGCAACTTACAGATAGTAGAAATGATTTTTCTGGAATGTGTGCATTACAATAATCAAAAATATGGCCACTAGATCTTCTTTTCCTTTTCTCAGAATCAAAAGAGCTGGATTCCTTCTGACTAAGAGTGGTGCTGTTCATGTTTCTGCTCCTCTTTTCCAGTTCATCATAGTTCTTGTTTTCTGTGTCAGAAAAAAGTAGTGATTTAATGGGTTATCCTTAAAAGTCCTTGTATTTCTTCATATCTGTTACATCTTAAATAAAAATGTATGGAAGCAGATACCTTCCATGATAATTCTTCCCTCTTTGAATCATGTGTGGCTGTCAAAATATATTCCCTAAAATAATTAGGATTATTATTGCACGATTAGTTAAGATAAGGGCATAACCAAATTCACAGTTCCCTTCCAAGTAAGAATAAGCACTCGATACTTCAGTCTTTCTTTTATCTCCTGCAATATTCTCCATTTCCTGCTCTAATGTGCAGATATTATTAACCAGTAATAAAAATATAGTATGTTTGTCCTGGAGAGTCAGTATAGAGCTCGTTTGTCAACAATAAATACATTCATATAGCATAAATATTTTTGCAGAGTTAACAAACCATTTGAACATTTTTAATGTATTACATTCTTGAGTATAAAAGACTTTTTTATAAAGTCAGATTGTAAGGTGCAGTGAAGTTTCCCTCAGTTTCCTTTTTCTTCCACAGATCTGATTCACAATAGCTTTATTCCTATGTAAAACAGCTATTTGATATATTTTACCATATTAGTAAAAAAATGCATTTTGAGGAAACACACACACTCCATGCAATGCCTATTTTATTTCTGTGCTCTCCTCATAATATTAAAAAGGGAAAAATCTCCCAACACTCTCCAAAATTCATATTTAAATAAGCAATAGCGTGGCCAGCAGGGACAGGAAAGGGATCTGACTCCTGTACTCGGCACTGATGAGGCCGCACCTCAATGACTGTGTTCAGTTTTGGGCCCCTCACTAACAAAAAGGACATTGAATGACTCGAGTGTGTCCAGAGAAGGGCAACAAGGCTGGTGCAGGGTCTGGAGCACAGGTCTAGGGGGAGCAGCTGAGGGAACTGGGGGGGTTTAGTCTGGACAAGAGGAGGCTGAGGGGAGACCTTCTGGCCCTCTACAGCTCCCTGAAAGGAGGGTGCAGAGAGCTGGGGATGAGTCTCTTTAACGAAGTAACAAGTGATAGGACAAAAGGGAATGGCCTCAAGTTGCTCCAGGGAAGGTTTAGACTAGATATTTGGAAGCATTTCTTTGCAGAAGGGGTTGCTGGGCATTGGAATGGGCTGCCCAGGGAAGGGGGGGAGTCCCCATCCTTGGAGGGGTTGAAGAGTCGGGTTGACCCAGTGCTGAGGGATCTGGTGGAGTTGAGAATGGTCAGTGTGAGGTTCATGGTTGGACCAGATGATCTTCAAGGTCTTTTCCAACCGAGATGATTCTGTCATTCTGTGAAATGCCATATTATTGCTCACTACAAACCTTTCTTTTGCAGCTCTCGTCTTCTAAAAGTTAAGACTTTATTTTTTTCTGGTTCTTTAGAAGCTTTAGTCAATTTACACACTTCATCATTTGTTTTTCTCAGGCAATGCTCGGACCTGTAAAGAGTATTAACTATGACTTATTTTTAATCTTGAAAGAATATTTAACAAAAATCCCAATAGAAACAAAAGTTGGTTAGACAACAAACTTCTGCCTCTCTTGTAAGCGTGGGGGGCTTGGCAAATGAAACACAAACCAATTCAGTTCCAGTTGTGGAAATACACAGATACTCTAACATTAATAACAGATGTTTCTAAAAGGTGCAAAGTATGAAAATCTGACATGCTTAACATCAGACACTGAAATATTATTTTGCTGTAAAGCATGACTGCAACAAGAACACATAATGAGAAAAAAAAAAAGAGGACAACAGTCAGTTGAGTATATCCTTGCCTTTGTCATGAATGCAGTGGGAATGAGGCAATGTAGTATATTTTTAATTTATATTTAGAACTGCTAATAGCATCCACTGAGTAACTTCTCGCAGTGAGATAGGACTTGAAATATAAATTCCTGCTCAAAAGGGCCTGAAACAGTAACTTTGAATAAAATGGGGGAGACAGGACATGAATGAGGAAGAAACATAAAAGGATTACAGTACGAGAAAGTAGGCGACCTACAGTTATTCAGCTGAGCTTGAAGTTTCATTCTAAAAAGAAGGACATGCAAAAAAGTAATAATATCTTTTGTTTGCTTGGGGGTTTTTTTATCAGCTTTTTTTATAAATAAGAGAATGTATTCATGAGGTACTTATAGACTGAACAGTATGACATCCTCCCATTTGAGGTCTGATCCCATGTTCTGAATTTCTCTGGAGGCTGCTTACAGCTGACAAAAGTCTACATAACTGTATTTTGGTTTCTAGTATATTCATTAGGATAACATTTAGTTATCCTAAATGTGGTATTTTCTCACATTAACTTCATTACATTCAGTATGCAAAACTTCTCTTCAGGGTTACAAAATAAAATAAACTAGCCATTATGACCTCTGCTTCATTTTCTGTGAGAGTTGGAAAATAAAAAAGAAAGTAAAGAAGATTTCATAGATAAAGCAATTTAATGCTGCTCTGGAAAATCTGTTCAATTTCTTCTTTTGTCACCTCACTTAACTCAAATGGATTTTGTGTTCAATGTTTTATGATGTGCCTAACTCAGAATGTTGCAGTCTCCAATTTCCAAAGAGTGAAGTGATCATCACACTGACTGAAAGCCCTGGACAGCTGAGCCTGGACTCAAAGAACATCACCAATCATGGGACATTCTTGACATCTTAACTAGACAGGCAAAACTGCTGGGCACCTCCTGAACAGATGCCAGTTCTTCAGTGCCATATCTGTAGATTATTGTTGCTCTTTGGGAATACTGTAAAGACAAATGAAGATTTCTAGACTGCTCTGATACTACAGTTATGAACAGTATATAAGCACAGTGAAGAAATTATTATCTTTCCATTCAAAAAAAAAATCATGAATTGGACCATATACAGAAAAAATGTTTGGTAAGTGCTATTACTCATCTGAATATTGAACAAGACAGAGTCTTTCATAAACAAGCAGATCTAGTTCTGGAACTACAGCTCTAGTTCTCCCTACAGAAAACTTGATTTTGGAACCCACATCTCTCACAACTTAAATATTTGTATGACTAACAGCTATATAGATTTGACTGCCTTAAAAGACAATATGAAACCACTGTTTTCTAGCATTTGTTTTACACCAACATCACAATTCAGGCATTTCAACAGTAGGAAACATTTCAATAGGAATGTTTCTGCTAATAGGCTTCCCTAAACACATCAACTCTATACACGAATTCTGAACATTTTATTTTCACTTCCAATCTCTGCTGTTAACTCAGTTTAAAACGTACCTCTTAACAGATACGTGCATAACCTAAGAAGGTAAGGCAGCATATACCGAAGTGCTCTCAACAGCCGTGAGAAACAAGCAAGAAAAGTACTTTAAAACCCTAAGTTTCTTTACATTTAAAGCCTACCTCAAATCTGTTAGTTATAGATAGGTCAGTGGTAACTTACAAAGATGCGGGGTTGCAGTGCACAAACAATGCAAAGTCCACCAATGCTGTAAAACCAAAAGCAAGAAAGGTAACAACATAGAACTCACAGCAAGTTCTAGCTGATAGAGAAAGATTAACTTATTACTACTCTGTTCTGATCACACACAATTCTCTGACTCAATCTGAAATTTTCACAGTACAAAACTGGCACAATTTTCAGTAAAACCGCATGCATTTTAGCTACTCTGACGACACAAGAGTCTCTATGGCCATGTGCATATATACACATAACCATTCTAAGTTGTAGAGCTTTTACTTTCCTCTGAAAGAGGACACCCCAAAACAATCAGTGCCAACTGTGCCTTATGCATAGACCTTAGTTACAGAAAGGTGACCAGGATCAAGCCATGTCTTTGTTGAAATAACTTCTAAATTCTCCACTTCCCATGTGGTATCTATTACAACTTGCACTGACATGCTAGTCGTTGGGGAGAGGTGGAAAATCCTCCTAATGTTGGTTCCTGATAATAACAAGCCTTTCAATTAATACATTAGAAAAACTTATAACAGAATATTAATCCTTCAAACAATGAACCACTCCAAATCTAAAGCAAGTTGAGTGCATCACCTACCAAAAAAACTGACTGGTTCAAACCATTCTTGTGCTTAACAAAAGTCAACAGCTGTCCTCCAGACAATGAGCTTGAAAAATTAAGCAAGACTCTTCCTCAGAATTAGAGTTATATACAAGAGTTCATGTTTTCCTCTCTATGAATCCACTACCTCCCATCATCAAAAACACCACCAAGTGGAAGAATCAGATACTAAAAATTACAAATCTTAAAAGATTTTGTAGTAAACCAAAAAAACCCCAACAATCAAAACAAAACTCCCCAGACTTCAGTCAGCCTAAACTTATGGAAAATTATTTATTAGCAATGAATGTAATACTTCTGAAATGAGACAGTCTAATAAACTGTTCTAAGCTCTTAATTTAAATTGCAGCTTTGTCAGATCAATTTAAGCAGCAATGGGGATCCCAACAGAAAAAAAGAAATTAATTCTTAACTGATTTAGGTTTTCTAAGATGTTCATGGGTCAGAATAAAGAATTTGACTTAATCAAAAATTTTAAAGATTTAACCTGAAAATTGTTGATTATTCCTGCCCTCACAAATCACTCTTCTTTCCTCTTTCTATTTTCTTCCCCCAAGTTTCCTGCTATTTGTTCCTGTGGATACTTTGCTGTTGAGCAAAGAGGCAGCCATAAAAGTCAAGAGAAAACAGCTTAGTCTGAATTAAACTGCCATCTTAGACCAAAACCAATGTTATATAATTCTAATATCTTATTTCTGCTATTTTTATATGTCAAGCATTTACTGTGATGTTCAGTCAACCTAAATGTAGGAAGAAAAGAAGAAAAATAGACATTAAGCAATGAGAGGACACACATACAGCCCTTAAACAATGGCACTCTGTTGGGATTAAGACCACTAGTGGATTAATGTGAAAAAAAAATTACTTACCACAGAGAGGAATTTGGAGAAATTTTGCAAAATAAATTACTTGAAATCATGCTAGAACACATTTACAGCAACAGAAAAGCAAGATTTTGGTTCTGGACACAAAGCCAACATAAATGTGTTTGAATTACTTTGACATCTTTGCAAATCAAAACACTGATCTATTGCAAATTCAAACTCCTTATATGAAAGAAAAGTAGCCTATTAACATCATGTACAACAAATCAGAATAAATGCGATGTTAAAACAACTCATTGGAGCGGCATGTTAGTCTGCAGTCAGGAAACCAATCTCCTGCTTCAAGACAAGAGTATAACAAAAATTGTTTCAGGGAAATTCTTTTCTATTGTGAATCTATGTCATTTCAGTAAGACTGGCAAAATCAGCAGTGAGTAACATACCTTTCAGACAGAAAAGAACTTTCATGAGGAGAACTTAATATCTGACATGTCTGTAGGCTGGCAACAGATGATGAGAGTAGTTGACCCGACTGTAATTTGTCAGCATCAGCTAAATTTGCATCAATTATTACGTGGCTGTCTATGTATTTTCTTCCAATTTTCGTCCTCAGGACATTCGTCAAGATAACTTTGGGTTGCCTGCCATATACATATATATATATATAACAGTAAATCATAAATACTGCACTGAAATCTAGAGAAAAAAACTTCTTGTTAAATTCATGTATCTTAGAGGCTTGCTCATCATAAAATATCATTACTTTCAGTTCCTTAGAGACAAAACAAAATCCCACTAAGGAACTTAAAAGCCCAGGTAAGCAGAAAAACACAAAAAATCAACAAGAGACCAGGGTAAGAAATGTTAACCATATAATTTCACCTTAGCTAAATATGATTCACATTGCATTGCTTTTAATGCATCATCTAAATATTGCTTAAAAACTGGTAAACATTTATTTCTAAGTAGTTTTCATGCAATATCTGTACACATTTCTCAAAACTACAGAGCAAACAATCTTGATTTTCCTGTGAACAAGAAACCTCCAGTAAATAGACTGAGTTTTCTCAAGTGCTTAGTCAACAGGTAGCAAAGTAGCACGTACATAAAAAGGTATTTTGCTCCCCTCCTCGACTTCCAGGTGGCATTCTGCAGAATAGCAATAGCAAGGCTCAGAAAAACACCCACAAGCATTTGTAGAGACAAACATCAAAAATAAGCTAACCAGAAATGGGAAGATGCAACTGCCCACTTGAGCACACATGGGTAAGAGCACAACAATTTATTTCATACAATGCCACTGCAGCTTGTTGTATAGCCCTTGATTTACCCACTTAGTTTCTCCAATTGGAATTTAAATTCTACCACTTCCATTGCAATTTATTTTGCATTAGGATGCAATGTCATGGCCTTCTTTGAATCTGTTATGAACAAAATTATCTTTTCTGTATCAGCTGAAAATTCTCGCGTTGTCTGTATTCATCCACAAAGCACACTCCAGCACAGACTGCATGATGTCTGGGGAGCAGTCAGATCTCTTCTTGCATGGAGATATAAATTTGCTTTGAATCAGGTGACTACCTTACAGACAAGAAGAAGCAGAGGCACACAGGTGATAAGCAATGAGGATATGATTGCAAGGAAAAGTCTAATAGAGAAGTAGTCTGTAGTCTGGATGTAACCTCCAATAAAGAAAGTTCCTAAACTGTTTGCCATCAGATACTCAGAGAAAATAAAAATAAAAAAAAACAGTGGAAAAAAGCATCCACTCTCGTCATACTTCTCCCCAGGTATCTGCAGTTGACCACTGCTTGGCGTGGGCGGGGAAGAAGCAGGGAAGGTACTGGACTTGATATGCTTTTCTTCTGACCCTTTACGCCAGTCCTCCTATTTTCATGAGTAGTCTGAAACATCAACAGTGAAAATACATAGTAATACCTTCTCTGATAAAAGAGGGCAGTTAAACAAAAGTGTTTTGACAAAAATAAAAAACCCACATTTTGGGAGTCCAATAGTTGAATTGAAATGAACTGATCTTGTCAGTACAGGACCATCTAGAATCCATCTGATCAGAAAACCCATCGCAGCGTGCTTGGCACCATCTCTGTCAACAATTATCAATAGGAACCATGTACAAGGGAATTCAATCAAGTCAGACAACATGAGAATACAGTTCATGAACAAGACTGCTATAGTACAACAAAGAATAGTGTCTCATGAAAAAATAACTGCAAGGAAAATTATTTTGTTTAGTGACACAAGGCAAAGACAACATACCTTTTAGACAGAAAAAGGCTTTGAAGAGTAGGGTTTAAAATTTGCCATATCTTTAGGCTGGCAGCAGATGATGAGAGTGCTTGATCTGACTGCAGCTTGCCAGCATCAGAAAAATTAGCACGAGTTTTAAGTTGCGCCAGTGTATATTTTCTTCCTATTTTCGTCCTCAGGACATTCGTCAAGATAACTTTGGGTTGCCTGCCATACATATAATAATAAATTAATAATAGGGTGCTGAGAACTTCTTAAGTCACATGAATTCAACAAAGCTTTTCTATGAGATTACTGTGCGGTGTTGTTGTTGGGGTCGGTGGGATTGATGTTGATTATGTATAATCTCACTGACGTGTTTGTACCCCCAGTGCTCACCCATGTACTGACCCTTTTGTATCAAATACAATTTGGTTATTGGTTCATCTTTATGCTGGCTCTGTCCTTCATGCTAGACCTAATAACTGGCAAAACAAGACCTTGACAGGACAACTGGTTATGACCTGATCTTCAGAGCTGTACAATTGCAGAGCTTTCAAGGGCTTCCCTTTCCAAAGGAGGAATGGCATCCTGTGACATTTCTTGAAAAATCATGTCATCAAGACTGGGCATAAAATAGATTCAGGAAAAATATATACACTTAAGCCAGCCTGTACATCTGTAAACAATGGTTGGGACACAGAATCCTAAATTACCTGTTAAATTGTCTACAGAATAGCAAGTCATGCAAAAGACATTTCAAAAGATAAAAATTCATGTCAAGCAGGAAAAAAAGCAAGCAAAGCATCTATTAAAAGCAATTCCCACCAGCAGACCCAGCAGGCAACCTGCACAACAGTAAGACTGGAGGTATCTTGGTGACAGAAAACCAAAAGTAATTATTTCTGTTTCTAAAGCAAGCAGCTATTATACCCCATCTTATCTATCTCCACACAAAAAAAAAAAAAAAAAAAAAAAAAAAAAAAAAAAAAAAACATGTAAGGATGGAACAGACCAAAAGAATATGTTACGAAAAATGCTGTTACCTGCTCCTGGTACATCTCACATCACTTTTCAAAAAGTGCAAAAGAGGATTATCTTGCTTTACAAAGTGCAGGACCAAAAGCTATTACTTGTTTGTACCCCTTTGGGGAAAATGTTTGACCTCTATTTCACCCAATAATCAGAGCTGTTAGATACAGTTCCTTTCTCATGATAAAATTTGTGTACATACCAGTGCTGTGACCACTGGCTTAAATTTGTGTTAGAAAGTGATCAAGATAAGACCTGGAGGCTACTGACCCCTTTTGGAGTAAATTATTACTGTCTACACCACCATTTTCACACCTACATTCTTCTACTAGTAAAGCCAAATTTTGGAAAAGTAGTATTTTGACAGTGGGATACCACATATCATGCAAGGGTCACCCCATCAGGTCCCATAAAAGCTGAGTATCTGTCCTGGGTTTATAGAATAAAGCCACCAATAGACTTGATATGTATTCAGCCATCTGAGCTTCTGCAGTACATGCACAGCTAAGGAGGTCCTTGGCCTTTCAGAGCCCACAGGAATATCAAGGGAAACTGACTGCCACATTCACTGACTACACCCTGCTGAGAAGAAAGCCTCTGTCTGTCATCCTTGTACTTCAAGGCCCTGACTTTTCATCAACTTATTAGAAGTCAGTGTTTTAACAGCAAACATGAACATCCCTACTAACCTCCTTACTTTGCTGAACCAGGAAGTTATTGCTGCCAAAATATGCTTGTCAGGATATGGAGAACCAGTATGTAAATGACTGCCACAAAACCCTGACTGCTACAGGGTCAGTGTTGGGGAACGGCTTGCAGAGAGCAAGGCCATGGGTCTCTGCAGAAGCTGATTACAGCCACCTGAGGTAAACAGAGGAAAAAACCCAGCGTACAGTGATGCTAACAAGAACTGTTATGATAACAAAAAGAGAAGTTGTGGCACATTATGGCCTTGGGGGTGACTGAAAAACAGGCCTGGGAAAGAAGCAGGCCAGAAGAAGGAAGATGTTGGGACATACCTGAAATGCCACAAGGGGCTGGGATATTATAATGTAGCTTTTTACATCTATCCAATAGATTTGTGAGTAGTATGCATGATTATTGTAGAGTGCTTATATAAGGTGTGATTTCTTTCAATAAAGTTGAAGCTTGCTCTATCATTCACATTGAATCGGCTGCTTGCTTCCTCTGCCCGCCGCAGGTCAGTACTTGATTCAGCCATGACATGTATTTCAATTACCATATAAAATACTGAGCTGAAAGAATCACCCACATCTTATTTAAGTACTTCTCCCACCCTCCTCCTGAAGAACACTTGACAGAGCAGGATGAGAAGCTTGAATTTCAGAACAGTGTTTTATTTTGTTTTTGTTTTGGTTTTATTTCCTTCTATTTCCCTCTTAGAAGAATGCAGGAATAATACTGCTGAAGTAAGTGCATGACTCTAAACTCTACTGCCAGGTGGTGACAGCTACCCTTGAAATCATTTTATCCCCTCCCTTGACAATAAAAGAGTTTCATAAGTAGGATACGAAACATTAATTGATCATTTACATAAAAACCATACCTAACTTTCTGTAATGACACTAATAAATTAAATTATTTGTATTTCATGACAGTCCTTATCTGTTTCATGACACAATTGGGAGAGTGTGTAAGAGACCACCATTTTATTAGAGGGACTAGGGAACTAACCCACCCTGAGAACCCTGTTTGGGATCACAGAAAAAAAAAATAAAAAAAATCTCCTGATGGTGACCTTGAGCAGGCCATGAGCAGAGGTGTTCAAGTGAGAGCAGCTGTGGTTGCTGCTTCCAGCCCAGATGGTCTCACATCACAGCAGGACTGACAGAAGCAATCATCTACCAAATTCAGTAATCCAGATCTTCAGCTAAAAACACATGTGAACATGGGTTTGTGTTAATGCATCCACTTTGTCCATTCTGACTAAAATTAAGTGGCAATAACAATGCTCAAGCAACACTTTAGATGAGACGTGCTTCCCTAAACATTTGAGACTAGCTCCTATCAATAAAGACAGTTTTAAAAACATCAGGAGCTAACAGAAGTTTGTTATTAAGATTTTCCACATTTCAATGCAAATAAAAAATTCCTCACTGGGAAGAAAGAACAGAGAAACTTTTGCATTAGAAAGATTCTCAGTATGCCACTTCACTCTTCCCTCTTCCGAGTTTTGTCAGTTCTCAGACTTTACTCAACAAACACCACCTCTTTAGAACCTGTGTGCTCTTTCTGCTTACTATGCAATGAGGTCAGTGTGTTGATTTTGACTTACTGAGAAACACCAGGTACCCAAATGGAACACTTAGAACAAGCTTTATTGCAGACAATAGATTTGAGTTTATTTTACAGAGAATCTCCAGCTAGTCTCTAGACACAAATCTATTTTGAGGAAGTGAAAAATGCACAGGTTTAGTATCTGAAAATTTGCTGTCTCTTTACAGTCTAAATTTCTCACTAATGTGCTGGTAAGAATTTTGGTAAAAATGATGGAACATCTACAAATGCTACTTGAAAGTCTGTCACATATCAAAATAAACATATGTAACAGATCCAAAGGTAGCTTGCTTTTTTTTTTTTAAAAAAAAAAAATCCTCAACACTGAAAGTCAATTCAGAGTTTACTGAAAGACCTTTAGAGATTGGTATCAGATATCAACCATTTCACAGCATAACTAAAACTCATGAAACTGCAAATAACATAGCTTTTAAATTCTGCTAGGTTGACCCTGTGAGGCAATCCCTCAAAGTTACTGAGAGAAGCATTTTGAGGTAACTGCAAGTAAAATGACAGCTATGCCTCTAAGGATGGATGAAAAATAAAATCAGAATCTTTTATAAGTTCAGCTCAGTTTGAATCATGCTGAATATGAAGGCCAGGCTAAACAATGACTATTCATATGTCATAAACCCAACAAATTCATCAGTGTCAAAATCATCTGCTATCATTAAGCATTTTCATTACCTGTGCACTTTGTTTTTAACACCCTCTCCTGACAAGTCATCACTTATAGTCAGGTTAAGTTCCAGTCAGAAAATGGGGCAGAGAATGCATACTCTGATTTGTTTAGATTTGAATGATCTGTGGAATAACAACTGCTTCATTAAAATAAATATCATTAATTTCATCATGAAGTCACTATGTTTCCTAGTTACTGTTAATTAATCTAATTCTAAATTTTATTTCCATTTGACAAATATGGCACTCACAGCTTAAAAATTTTCTTGGATAAATAATTATCTAGCTGACAGCTTCACAGAAGGGGACTTTAAATAATTTGCCATAATCTCAAAGAGCCCAAGATATTTACTCTTGGCAACAGAGCATAAAGAAATGGCACATCAGTAGTCTTATATACTTACTTAGGTGTCTTGACTGTAACACAGAGGTGGAAAACCTAGCTTTACACTGTCTTCCCCTACTTACTAATCACCATATCGCTTGGGGTTTTTTTTCTTATTGTTCAAGAGTTGATAGAGACAGGTTAATGACTGTGGACTACTGACCAAAAAGTGGCAAGCAAAAGATAATCTGGGAAATTTCTTAAATATCTAAAATATCTAGGGCAAGAATGATAATTTACACTTAAAGTAATGAACACCTTTCAGGATTCCAAGCAGGGCAACAAGCAGTAATTTCTCTGGCAAGTGTTGCACTCCCATTCTGATGTCACAGTCTTGTTTTGCGTTAAAACAAAGAAAAGTTACAGCTGCCATTAAATCACTGAAATATGATTCTCTGAGGGTGGGCTACCTAACAGCTTGAAAACCATCTCTTCATGACACAAATAATTAGCTAGAGACCAGAGATACCCATCTTCAAGAAAGATTCTGAAACTCTCAACATAAAAATGAAGAAGGATTAGTTTTGAGATGACTTCTTACCCAATTGATTCTTCATCATTAGAGCTGTGTCTGTCACAGTCCTTTTGCCTTTTTCCTTTTGTGGAAGGCTCTCTGTTGTTGGCACTTAATTTCCACTGAAATAAAACAAATAAAATTGGCAGGTTCCAACAGACATAAATGACATAATGGATAGTACACTAGAAAAAGGGAACAATGCCAGACATTGAAACAATGCAGCTGATCAAATAAAGCAGACCTACAAAGAGTATATATGACACTTTTTACAAAAAGTTAATTTGCTTGATTTAAAGCACCCACGTACCACCCGATCTTGAATGGAACTGTTTTCCTCCTAAAGAAATTTGACAACATGAGACAATTCGATTATTTCCCTATTTAAAGGGGGACTATCACAAAAAGGGACTTAAATATTAGGTCTGCTTTACATAACCACAAATACTCAGGATAACCTCTAATTTCCTTAACTTCATGCATTTTACTCAAAGTATATAAAATAGATATAAAATTCTGAGAAGAAAAAGGAATTTGAAGGTTTGGTACTTGGGTGACAAAATGCACAACAGCAAGACTTCATTTTTTCCAAATTCTCTTACCTGACCAGGATACACTTGTATTTTCAAATTAAATAAATGAAGCCCCACCAAAACATATAGTGATTTCTGCAGTTCCAGAAACTTATCTCCCTTTGCCATTACTCCTCCTAATCTCTCCTCACTTTTTTTAATGTAAAAGATAAGTCAAACAGACATTCAAAAATTATGCCAGTCAGGCTTAGAGAGCAGACAAACTTATCTTCATTACTCTTAAAGCATGTGGTGAAAGGGCCTCTGAAAAATTCATGCCCATGCATATTTTACACATTTTAGTGAAGTCTGCAAGGAACATCCCAAAACAAACTTTTCCCTACCTAACAGCCTGACTCTAATGGAAAAATACCTTCATTATTAAAGCAGTTGGCAGCAAAAAATTGTCTTGAAGGTGCTCTCCCCTCCTCCTGCCTTCAAACACTTCCTAGTTCATCTCATATCACTGGTCTTCAAGCATCCTAAGAGACCTATATGGCTAAATCACTGAAAGCCCCACAAAATTTCTCAAACAACATGGAGCAAACTCTGGCAACACTAAATACAACCAGGACAGACCTTGTACGGATAAAATAGTTTATTTTAATTCTGATACCTCATGAGCAACCTTTTATTTTAAAGTAGAATATAAAGAGTAGTCAGTGTTTAAAGCATGCAAAGCCCTCTACCACACGGAAAAAGTCTGAAATAGACAGACACATGTAGGAAAAATAAGAAATGGAAAATTAGAGAATATACAGGAAATAAAAAAGGGAAAAAAACACATTTTTTTCAATTCACCCAGTCTAATCGCTGCTTTTATAAAGGCAGAGAGAAAGACAAGAATTCCATGCAAGTGCTGTCTGGCTCCACCTAAGAGACTGCTGCTTGTAACCACTGGAGACATTACTTACAATTTCAAAATCTGACACTAACTGGACACTCTGCTCACTTAAAATTGTAACAGTATAGCACACAACCACACACTGAGTTTGTACTGCAGCATGCTCAAATGACCAAGCCTACTAAGAGACCTGGGTCACATTATCATCACTACTGAAAGTCAAAAAAGCTCCTAACATACATCACTAGGTATTTAAAGCTTGTCTGTGGGGGAGCCTGTTTGCCCAGCCTCACAGTTCTGAAAGCACTAAAACCAGCAACAAAAATCTCAATGCTGAGCTGAAGGAGTCAAGAGTAGTAAAATATGTTTCCAAATCCTGGCATCTTAAAAACGCTTACTAAATTTGGAACAGATTTAAGGAAGCAAATATTAGCTTCTATACGTGATGGAGATGATCAAGACAGTCATTTATGACAAATGCCATATAAGTACTCTTACAGTCTTCTGCTCTTAATACTGAAATCAGTTATTTCTATATTAGCACCTAAAATTCTGTCTATATATAAGAAACCTATATAACACTCTCCTACTCACTTTACACACCAAAGAACTTCTCTTTACCTCTTTTAAAGGGTAGTCCCAATGGTGGTTGCCTGGGAGCCTTGGCAAAGGGGACTGAACTTGGACATCCTCTGACTTGGTGTTTGTTTTCTTCTTTGGTATACGAAACTGAAAATAGATGATGTTAGACACATGGTAAAACTAAATTATCCACTGGAGCCAATATAATGCTATCTAGAAAGTTTTCCTAACTGTCAGGCAAAATAACAAAGTTGCAAGGGAAGCACTAACCTGCAACTTTAATTTAAATGCATTCCTCATTGATGCTTGATTCTAAATCATGTGTCATACCACATGAGGAGTTAGTTTTAACACATGAACTGTCTGAAAAAGCTCTTCCTATTTCATTAACTTTACAACCACCTCAAATGTGTGCCCAACAGGTGAGAACCAACCTACTGGTGCTTACAGTTTTGTTAGTTCCCACTGATTTGCTTATACTCTAGTTTAATCATATCATCTTAGAGAAAGATAAAGAAAAAACAAAATAACTGAATGTCATGATAAGTATCACACCAGGTTTGTTCTCAAATGGAACCAGCATTTTGAAAGTAATTATTGAAAGGTAAAGCATTTAGCAATTCACAGAAATTTGCCAATTCATAAAAATGTGTAGGAAATAATGTTCATGCATTGAAATTCAAAACAAAAATGGTCAAACTAAAATTCCTACCAGTTCATCAAGACAAGGAAAGAAGGTAACATTCCCTATCAGTTAATTAAACCAGTTAATATCATCTGAAAGAATAAAAGTGCAAGCCTTGCCATTTCTCCAGGTGTCCTGAGAAGCAGAACCTCACCTTGTCTGATACATTAGAATGTATCAGACAGGGAATGCAACATTTACATCTTTCAGACAACTGAGTCTATCTCAGCTAGGAAAAAGCTGAAGCTTCTCCATGTGGTGGCCACTATCAAGTGTATTATGAACTCAAATTTGCAAGTCACCAGATGCCCTACCTAACACGAAATTACAAGTAATTACTCTAGAACAGCAACACAAACAATAATTAACACAGAAATTGCATTAGTTCTGTAGGCAGTCCTTCAGACAGAACATAACTGAGCATACTCTACAATAATGAGATAATCCTTCAATTCTTCAGTTTGAATTTGCAAGTGTTCTTATTTCTTCTCTACACTTTTGAAAGACAGATTTATTTTTTTAGTAATTACACCTGAATTTCTATAAAATATCTCAAACTGCTTTTGCTGGTCAAATGTTGTCATAACAAATATGCTTTTAATAACAGATTCCTCAAATTATAAAGGATGTAAATGTTACACACAGGCAGTAACTTCTAATACAAGTACCTCCCTTCCCTTTCAATCAACATTTAAGGATCGAAACAGACATTTTCTTATTCAAGAACATCTGCAATTAGATTGCTCAATTTTTATTTTATTTTTTTAAGAAGTGGCCTACAAACATGTTCTATCAGTCAGAATGCAGTCTTCTGAACTGTACCTTAATGGGCAGGTACAAATTTCTTACTTTGGAACTCCACCTGCTGCCTGTCTGTTATGATCTTCCTAAGAAGAAATATTTATCTAAAATTTGAACACGCATTTAAAGTTACAGAGGTTCAGATAACCTCTGTAATACCATCACAGACATCTGAGAACAGGTAAGACAAGACTCAGGAAACAGAGACAGGTGGACAAACAGAAAGGGATAAAAAGCACAAGATATGTTCACCAGCAAAATTTCCACCTCACCATACAGTATCTTCCCAATGATTGCACTCATTAATAAGATGATGGTTTGCAGTGCCTATAATTAACTATAATTAATAGCACAAAGTCAAGAGGTAACCAACAGAGGTCTGTATGAATGGCAAGTGCAACATAAGCAGTTGCCTCAGCTTTTCCCGAATATAAGGTGACTAACACAACACATACATGGGCACATGCACTTCACAGCCTCCTCATCTAAACCAGCAGTACTTTTCTGATGTTTCCCACCTGTAGGATCAAGGGTCAGAGAAACTGCATGAACAAGGTGCCAGAAACAGCTTATTTCTAAAATATTAGACAGTCCAGACTCTACCCAATCAAACCAGTTGCTGTGCCTACAGTTCGCTTTCACTAGTGCTTCCATTGCTAGAAGCTACTATTAACAGGGATATTTTAGAAAAAATAAACACTAGCATAAGCAGCCTCTGAACACAGCTCTGTAGATAACGAAATATTATGGAGTTATGCAGTTGCTCTACTTACATGAGCATTACTCAGTATTTTAGATGTTAGCTTAGGTCTTAAAAAGTCCTCAAAAACATGGTGTTCATGTGAAATCAAATGTTAAGCCTATCACGTATAATACATATTCAACAACAGACATTACTATTGACTGGTACCAGCATAAACTGTTTCTCAGGAAAGAGTGCTCCAACAAAGCAAAAGCTGGACCACTGAATAATGAATTTGGTTGTGCAAATACATGAAAACACCCTAGGACGCCGACAGCCTCAAAGTAAATTGTTGCAAATTGTAGGAAGACTTACACTGACATGACTTGAAGATGATCTTCTTTCCATTATGTTCTCTATTGAAAAAAAAAAATACAAAATAAGCTTAGCAATTTGTGTGTTATTCATTCAGAGAGAATCAGGACCAGAGTCATAGGTACTAAGCAAGAACAAGAAAACCATTTTTGAGTAAGCTGGCACAAAGAGCAGTCATTCATCAAATGGTTGGGGTTGGAAGGGACCTTAAAGACCACCTAGTTCCACCCCCCTGCCATGGGCAGGGACACCTTCCACTAGCCCAGGTTGCTCAAAGCCCCGTCCAGCCTGGCCTGGAACACTGCCAGGGAGGGGGCAGCCACAGCTGCTCTGGGCAACCTCTGCCAGTGTCTCACCACCTTCACTGTTAAGGATTTCTTCCTTAGATCTGATCTATAATCTAACCTCTGTCAGTTTAAAACCATTGCTTCTTGTCCTGTCACTACAGGCCTTGGCAAAAAGTCCTTTACAGCCACAATACAAGAGACATGTGCTTGGGCAAGGCTCTGGAGTGTCAGCATGAACAGAACTGTTGCCGAAATTTTGACTAAAATTTATCTTCAGTGAAGGCATTTACTGCTTAACTCCATCCCCGGCAAGCACACAGCTAATAAGCAATTCAGGCTTTGATTATAAAGTGAAAAGGAGTCACAGAATACATCTGCAACACTACAGGAGCTCCAAGAATAAGGTAAAACTCAAGGATCCCTGTTAACAGATAAATGTCTTCCTCAGTGGAAGGACACAGCTTCAGAGCTTCGAGTATCCATAGGCGTTTAATTATCGACTATGGCGTAAAACATTCAAACCTCACGGCTCGTTTGAAGTCACTCAAGAGCTTTCTGTTTGAGTACTTAGCTCGGCGGTTTTTCAACTGACGGCTCCAGTCCCCTGGTGCGGGGAACATCACCACATGAAGACTACTAAAGAAAAGCCTAACTACTGCCTACACGAAAGCCCGCAGGGAGGAGAAGCTGACAAAGGGCGGCCTTCTGACAGCTCTGGGGGCAACCGTGGCACCGCCCAGGCGTGGCACCGCCCGGACTGCCACCGCCGGAGCCCGCCCCGAGCAGGGCTGCCCGCGGCCCCAGCTCCTCACCCGGCCGCCGGCTCCTTCCGTCAGGAAGGAAACGGGCTCCTCGCCCGCAAACGGGCAAGCGCCGCGTGTCCACAAGCGCCAAGGAGCGGCAGCCTC